CCCCTCAAGGAAGAGCTTCAAGCATGTCATCCCCCAAACGTTGCACATCTTACTCGTGGGTGTATATACCCATCCCCTCCTGCCCCCTCTCCCCTCCTGACACCAATAAATGTTACTCCTATATGTCCACTTAGGTGTTGATCCGTTAATACCAATTTGCTGGTGAGTACATGTGCATGTGGTGCTTGTTTTTCCATTCTTGAGATACTTCACTTAGTAGAATGGGTTCCAGCTCTATCCAGGAATATACAAGAGGTGCTATATCACCATTGTTTCGTAAAGCAGAGTAGTACTCCATGGTATACATATACCACATTTTATTAATCCACTCATGAATTGATGGGCACTTGGGTTGTTTCCACAGCTTTGCAATTGTGAATTGTGCTGCTATAAATTCAAGTGCAGGTGTCTTTTTCATAAAGTGACTTTTGATCTTTTGGGTAGATGTCCAGTAGTGGAATTGCTGGATCAAAGGTAGATCTACTTGTATCGCTTTGAGGTATCTCCATATTGCTTTCCACAGAGGTTAAAGCAAAACTAGAGGCATCCCATTTCCTGACATCAGAGTATATTACATAGCTATAGTAATCAAAACAGTATTGTACTGGCATAAAGACATATGTAAACTAATAGAACAAAATAGAAGCTAAAGACAAACCCATACATATGCAGTCAAATGATCTTTGACAAGGGTGCTACAAACATATATAGGGAAAGGAAAGTCTCTTCAACAAATGGTCTTGGGAAAACTAGATATCCACATGCAAAAGAATGAAATTGGACCTTTATCTTACACTGTACACAAGAATAAACTCAAAATTAATTAAAGACTTAAGTGCAAGACCTAAAGTTAGAAAACTCCTAGAAGAAGACATAAAGAAATTACTTAATTCGTGTTGGCAATAGTTTCTTGAATATAACACCGAAATCACAGGCAACAAAAAAAGGCAAGTGGAACTATGTTAAACTCAACAGTGTCTGTGCAGCAAAAGAAAAAAAATATTTTTGCTTGCAAATTTATTTTGTCATGCTTTGGTCTCTTCTGTGTCATCTAATTTAAAGTGTGAGAAAATTAAATGTTATTTAGTATAATAATAGAGTGAAAGACAACCTACAGAAAGGGAGAAAACATTTGCAAAACATAAGTTTGGTAAGAGGTTAATGTCCGAAATACACAATAAATTCTTACAACCTAATAGCAACAAACAAGCAAACAAAAAACCCAAATAATCGGATTAAATAATGGCCCAAAGACTTGAATAGACATTTTTTTCTAAGAAGACATACAAATGGCTAACAGATACATGAAAAGATGTTCAATATCAGTAATCATTAGGGAAAGGCAAATCAAAGCCATAATGATATATTATTTCATACTTGTTAGGATGATTATTATCAAAAACAAAAAAAATAACAAGTGGTAGTGAGGATGTGGGGAAATTGGAATCCATGTGCACTGTGGTGGGAATGTAATATGGTGCAGCCACTATGGAAACAGTATAGGAGTTTCTCAAAAAATTAAAAATAGAACTTCCATATGACCTAGTAATCCTACTTCTGGGTACTAACCTAAAAGAACTGGAAATAGGATCTTGAAGAGATATTTGGCTTCTGATGTTCATTGCAGCATTACTCACATTATTCAAAAGGTAGAAACAACATAAATGTACATCAATGAATGAATGGATAAAGAAAATGTGGTACATATATGATCTCACTTATATGTGGAATCTGAATAAGTCAAACTCATAGGAGTAGGAAGTCACATGGTGGATACCAGAGGCTAGTGGAGGAAGGGTAGACAGGGAAAGAGAAGACATCGGTCAAAGGGTACAAGGTTTCAGTTATATAGGTGGAAAAAGTTCTGGTGATCTATTGCACAGCATGATGGCTACAGTTAATAATAATGTATTAGATATTTCAAAGCAGCTAAAGTAGAGAATTTTAAATGTTCTTACTACAAAGAAAGGATCAATATTTGAAGTGATGGATATGCTAATTAGCCTTATTTGAATGTTCCACAGTGTATACATGTATTGAAACACTGCATTGCACTCCCTAAATACAATTATTATTTGTTAATCAAAAATTAAATAAAGTAAAACAAATAAAAAAGAAAAATGTGATATAGAGATATTATGGAATATTACTCAGTCTTATAAATAAGGAAGTCTTGTCATATGGTAAAACATGGATCAAACTTGAGGACATTTTGTTAAGTGAAATAAGCCAGTAAAATACTGCATGATTCCACTTATATGAGGCATATAAAGTTAACTCACAGAAGGAAAAAGTAGTCAGAGGGTGGGGGAAGAAGGAAATGGAAAGTTGCTATTCAATGGATATAAAGTATCAGACATGTAAGATCTGTTCTGTAATGTGCATATAGTTAATAATGTATTATACACTTAAAAATTTGTTTTCTAGTAATAGTTGCAATAGAATGAGTAAGGGAAAACAGTCTATCAACTGGAGTGGACCACATAGTTTTGGTTAAAAGTATGGACTGTCTAACGAAAATATCTGGGTTTCAATTCCCAAATAGCTGTGTGATCTTGGGCAGGAAACTCAACCTCTTTGTGCCTTAATTTCCCTCCTCTGTATTTGGAGATAATAATAGCATTTACCTTATTTTTGGGGAAAGGATGAAATGAGTTAAAATGTGAAAATTGCTTGGAACAGTGTCTAAGACATGGTGCTATATATGTTAGCCATTATTGTATTAAAGGTAAATTTTTACTCTACTTTGAAATTACCAAATAATAATAATAATAATAATTCTATCCATGTTAATATAGGTTCTTTCCTGTTATCCAATCTATAATATTACTTTTGAGGTTAATCATTTTCATTTTAGTCTGGCTTTGTTTTGGGTTTATGCACTGAAAAGATACCATTTTGTACATAATGATATTTGGAATAAATTTAACAATCCCTACTGGATTATAATTAACACAGGCAGGACTAGAACCTATTTTTGATAGTTTGTGCCAAAGTCCGCGACTTTTAAAACTAAATGGCTTCAGCTTGCAAAATCCTTAGTGCTTATATCCTTATCCCACAAACTCCCACCATCTCCCCACCATAATAATAAAGGAAGAGGAAGTAGCCAAAGGTGTAATTCACAAATGGAAGCTGCTTCTAGATGTCCTTCCTTGGATAAAATCCTGCTAAGGCTTGAGGAGAAGAGGGCATGTGTTACTTAGAGATTGGCTCTAGAAGCCTACTATATACCATAACACTGCAGCTGGGGTCTACTCTGAGAAAGTCTCACCACATGTAGCCAACACAAGGTGACTGAGCTCAGCTTTGGGGTTAACACAAGTTAGAAGGCAGCAATGAATGATTCACTCAGACTTGAGAGCATTTGTCTTGGGCTGACCACAATGAGGCAGAGAGTTATACAAGCATGTGACAGCTCCCGTAGTGGCAGCAATGAACAGTCACTGGCGCGCTAGAGAGCCTAAGTGTATTCTCTCTTTACCATTCTAAAATTATCCAAACTGTTTTCAATTTAAATCATAAATTCTATCCCCAAGTGTTAGCCTCTGTGTGTGCATGTGTATTACTTGGGACAGTTGGATCAGTCTTTCATTCAGTCAGCCTAAAGGGCACGCTGACTGATTTATCAGAGAGGCTATAAATATGTCATATTTATCATTTTCAACCACAAAATGATATTTATTGAGCACTTGTTGAATTCTATTTATTAAAGATGTGATTCATTAATGTTGTAGTAGCATATTGCATGTTATTAAAAATATGTAGCTTTCAAAATATATTAAGAAAATGGATGACTATGATGAGTTAATAAAGATATAATCATACTGAACGCTTTACAGTTTTTACAAAACTATGAGTGTTTCATTTATCTGTTACCACTTGAATATTCCATGTCTTGAATCTAAATATTTTGCCCTCTCTGGCTCTAGCATGACTTTTTAAAACATGAAAACAATTTTATTCCTATCTACTCAGTCTGGAGTCTGTTGCAGTAGCAAATGAAGAGTAGCAGAGTGTATTATAAAGGAACAAAAAAGGATTAGGATTCAGAAAGCCTGGAATCAAGTCTCTTTCCTTACCACTATACAATTTTGGACAAGTCTGATACTCAGTTTTCTCAGCCATAGAAAGGTAGTAATCATTTTTACTTGCAGGGTTCTTGTGAATATCAAATGAAATAGTGTATATGGCCATAATTTGGAAAATAGTAATAGATTGAGCTTATGCAAATCTTATATGTTATTATTCACTTCTTTTGGATGCCTACATATACTCAACAAGAGACTGTAAAGAAGAAATGGAAATAAAATAAAATTTCCAATTCATTAGGGCAGTGCCTATTGACAGCTTTAATGTGTACCAAAAATTAGCACTTGAGAGCTCTAATTATACATATTAACTCTCCATGATGATCAAATGAACCAGGAATTCTTTATCTTAAAAGTATTGCAATGAAATTATCCTAAGAAGCATGTAGTCAACCACATCATTAAAACTGAAAGAATTCAGCAAATTGCCTACTCTCTGGAGGGACAGACATCATCTCTTCTTTCAATTTAGCCTCATTCGATAGTTCTAAGAACAATTTTCTGGCCAATGCAAATCTGGAAAACTAAGAATGGACTTTTTAGCAGCACAGCACAAGTACTACCACATTGTATAAAAATATAAGTTTTTAAAAACTGTCATATCTTGTAAATCTTTCTCCATCCCTGAGCTTTTTTTTCTTTCTTTAGTCAAGCACAATATAAGCCAAAGCCAAAGTGTGCCAGGAAAATCAATTTATTCTTAAATTTAATAAAACTTTTATAGTGACAGGCAACATTAAATACATTTAATTATAGCTAAAGTATGAATTTTCTGGCGCGGTTTTGAGAGCTTTTTACAAGGCTTCTGTTCAATTAAGAAATATTCGTGCTTACTAACTTAAAAACTGATACTTATTTGAAATACTGAGGGCACAATTAGTGTCTGGAACTAGATATTTGCATACCTACCTGAGAGGCCTGGGAAGTCTCTGTGTCTTTCTTCTGCACTGGAGGTTTTCCATCTGCAGTCAGCTCAATCATACAAGCAACCTCAGGGCTGCCAGCCGGCATTGTATAGCTAGAAGTAAAACAGAAGAGGCCATTATTGAATGTGTTATTGGCAAGAACAGAGTAACTTCACACATGGATGGTTAAGTACTTCTTCACCAGAGAGGTACTTTCTGGATCACAATAATCCTGAAAGAGAAGTGTGAGCATTTTGATGTCAGCCAAGTGTGAGCATTTTCAGATAGATAAAAGATATATTTCTTTCCTAACGCTGCATTTCATTTTTCCTTCTTTCCTCCTGACTTTAAATCAGGACTTGCAATGCTTTCAGAAAGTTAAACCCCCCACAAAACAAAAAGAGCTTTATGTGTACAAGTAGGTATTGATAAATATAAAGTGCTAACTGTGGTTGACGTATGGCCTCACTCATGTAGAAGATTGTTGGACAATTAACATCAATGTTAAATGATGCTAAACTCCCTAGGTAGAAATTTCCCCTCCCTGGCCTACAGGGGAAATAGAAATGGAATAAGATATGAAAGGCTGCACACCCCTTAGCAGTGAGATTACACTGTGATACAGTTATCAGTACTCAGAAAACATGCTGCTAATGTACTGGCTGGTACTGTGTCTCAGAGATAAAGAAAAGTTTAAGGCTAAAGGAATTTGTAGAACAAATAGCAGAAAGGGTCAGTACACAACTGAAAATTTATCAGAGTTTATAGAATGATGCAATCAGATGAAAAGGTACGTATACTAAGGAACCTGGCATACTTTTTAAACTGTATATTTAGAATTTTAAAAGACAATTCAAATGCTATTACCCTGGCACTTGTCATAGGTACCAATAGTAACTTGTATTGTTATGAAGTTAATTCCATAGAGACAATATTAGAGGTACATTCACTAATATTAATAACGGCTATCTCTGAAGCTGAGAGTATGGATGATTTTGATTCTCATTTTCGCTTATTTGTATTGTCTGAATTTTGGACAACAAACACATTTCATTTTTATTTCTAATTTTGGCCAACCTTTCCAGTTTTCCTGCGCCTGAGGGGTTTTTCAGGATGCAGCACTTTCAGTGCTAAAACCAGAGAAGTTCCTGGCAAACCAGGGGCAGTTTGCCTCTCTATTTTTTTTAAAAGTCAATTTTAGTAAATAATCATTGGTTAAATAATTTACTAATGCTTTACTTCTTAGTAAATAATTTACTAATACTTAAATAATTCACTAATGCTTTTACTAAAACTAAATAATTTACTAACATTAATACTGTTAAAATAACCTTGTAGACTTAAGTAAATGGAAAAAACAAACTCAAACTCCCCTCTTTCCCTCACCCCTTCAAAAGGCACAGCTGTGGGCTGGTTCCTTCTCCCCCTCACCTAGTAATACAAATCTAATATGGTCCTACCAATAAATCATTCCACTACTCTTTTGGCCTCCACTCTAGTTTTACCAGGGTCACTTCTAATTCTGATCGGATAACTACTGAAAATTCTTGAATTCTAAGAATTTTCCATTGGTGTGAGCTGTGTATTATAGGGATATATGAAGCACCATCATATGTGAATGGATCGTTCCCATGGATCAGGCAGGTTGATATGTTCAGATGTTTTATACTGGAGACGGAGAATAGCTCTTAGGGAATGTATATGCCCTCCTTAACAAATAATAAGATCTCTGTTTCATTCAGAGCTTGTTGAAATCTGACCTTGAACTGCAGTTCTGCAAAAGAAAGTCACTCTATTCTATCTGCTGTTATTCCTCCTTTTCTCTCCTTGACCCTTCAACAAAGGGTTGATCTTGTTGTCTGCTTAGTTTGTGTACTGTTTTGGGAATTGATACTTTAAGTTCACCAGAATTTTTTCCACATGTTGATTCTTATCATGTTCATTGTTATAATGTCTCATATTTGCTTACAGACCAAATTGTGTCAGAAGAAACAAAACATACTCTATAAACAAATTAGACATTATGCCACATAAATCACTTGAGGAAAAGTCTAAGCACATATACCTCATGCCTCTCAAGTATTGCTGAGGCCAGCCAAGTCTAATGATTTAAAGACTCAAGAATCATATTTTGAGACAATCCATTGACTGGCTGAGTGATCTTAGGCAAACCACTTAACCTTTCTTCCCTGAAGTGTGATTATCCACAGAAGGGAGATAATCATTCTAAGTTCTTAAATGGTTAGTGAGAATCACATTATTTAATGTACATAAATCATTCAGTGCTAATATTAAAATCCAAGTTAAAGCAATTATTTGCTGACTAGACAGGGATCTCTAAAGAGATTTCTATGAAAATAAATTGCACAGTCAAGTTGAAGTGTTCATTTACTTCTACTAATATTGCTCATAATGAAATTCAAAATCAAATACTCAAGTTGAATTATTTTAAAACCTAAAACTTACTGAAACAGACATTTTTTTCAGTGCCCTTGACATTCTTGCACTTTAGACTTATATTTACGTATGCTAAGAAATATAGGGAGAAACACTTTGATTTGGAAAAGATAATTTATTTGTAAATTTTTAGAAGATGCTGCTCAAACTGTAAGTTCAGGACATTCAAAACCCAGGAAAAGGTTGTAAAAATGTAAAACAGTGAAGAGTGAATTGGTTAAGTATTTTAAGGTAACTGAATGCTATCCAGTTTTTTGTTGTTGTTGTTTTTGAGACAGAGTCTCACTCTGTCACCAGGCTAGAGTGTCATGGTGTCAGCCTAGCTCACAGCAACCTCAGACTCCTGGGCTCAAGTGGTCCTTCTTACTCAGCCTCCTGAGTAGCTGGGACTATAGGCGCAAGCCACCACGCCCAGCTAATTTTTTTGTTTCTATTTTTAGTTGTGCGGCTAATGTTTTTTCTATTTTTAGAAATAGAAATAGAAATAGAGAGAGATGGGATCTCACTCTTCCTCAGGCTGGTCTCCAACTCCTGAACTCAAGCGATCCTCATGCCTCAGCCTCCCAGAGTGCAAGGGTTACAGCTGTGAGTCACTGCGCCCGAACCTATCCTACTCTTTAACAAGAGTTATAGAATAAAAATGAGTGACATGAAAAGATATTTCTGTGAAATAGCAAAAAAGATAAAGACAATTTGAATTATATGATATTATTTTTATGGAAAAATGCATAGAGATAATACCAGAACAACATTAACAGTGGCTATCTCTGTATGCTGGGAAAGAATATGATTTTTAAATTGTGTCTTTTGTTTGTCTGTATTTTTGAAATTTTGGACATTGAACATATTTTCCAGTTTCAGCTCTTAAGATAAAAATTCAATTTTTATAAAAATAATCAAAGATTTAATAACTTTCAAACATTTTTCTGTTGTTTCGTGTATTCCATTCCTCCCTTCCAGGTATATCTATTTATCTATCTTCTTACCAAATACATTTTTAATAGTTTGTGTATCTGGATTGTAAACTAATATCACATTTCATATGACCCTGAATAATGGTTTATGCATAAAATTTTGAATTTCTTTTTAGAATTTTAAATAGCACCTGATTATTTTCTGCAATCTATTGTAGATGTGAAGTTGTTACCAGTTCAATTTAAAAGCTGTTCCTTTGTTACTTTATCTTGTTTCTCTGGCAGCTTTAAGATCCTGTCTTTATCTGTGATGATGAGTCTAGGTGTGGATTAATCACTATTTATTCTTCTCAGTACTCTGACTGCACTTTTGGAAAATTTCAATTTTGGAAAATTCTCACCTGAATCATCCTTTTTAAAATTTTATTTCAGCATATTATGGGGGTACAAATGTTAAGGTTATGTATATTGCCCACTGCCCCCTCCAGTCAGAGCTTCAAGTGTAACCATCGCCCAAACGTTATACATCTCACTCATTGTGTTTGTATATACCCATCTCCTCCTCCCCCCTCCCACCTGCCCGACATCCGATAAATGCTATTCCTATATGTCCACTTAGGTGTTGATCCGTTAATACCAATTTGCTGGTGAGTACATGTGGGTCTTGTTTTTCCATTCTTGAGATACTTCACTAGTAGAATGGGTTCCAGCTCTATCAAGGAAAATACAAGAGTGGCTATATCACCATTGTTTCTTAAACTGAGTAGTATCCATGGTATACATATACACATTTTATTAATCCACTCATGAATTGATGGGCACTTGGGTTGTTTGCTATTGTGAATTTTGCTGCTATAAACATTCGAGTGCACGTCTTTTTCATAAGTGACTTTTGATCTTTTGGGTAGATGCCAGTAGTGGAATTGTTGGATCAAATGGTAGATCTACTTTTATCGCTTTGAGGTATCTCCATATTGCTTTCCACAGAGGTTGAACTAGTTTGCAGTCTCACCAGCATGTAGGAGTGTTCCTCTCTCCAGATCCATGCCAGCATTTGTTGTTTGGGACTTTTTGATAAAGCCATTCTATCTGGAGTTAAGTGATATCTCATTGTGGTTTTCTATTTGCATTTCCCTGATGATTAGATATGTTGAACATTTTTTTCATAGGTTGTTGGCCATTATTCTGTCTTCTTTTGAGAAGTTTCTGTTCATGTCTTTGCCCATTTTGATGGGTTGTTTGATTTTTTCTTGCTGATTTTCCTAAGTTCTAAATAATAATAGTTATCAGCCCTTCATCAGATGTGTAGCTTGCAAAATTTTCTCCCATTCTGTGGGTTGTCTGTTTGCTCTCTTGACAGTTTCTTTGGCTGTGCAGAAGCTTTTTAATTTGATCAGGTTCCATTTATTTATTTTGATTGCTGTTGTGGTTTCCTTGGGGTCTTCTTCATAAATTCTTTGCCTAGGCCAATGTCTAGAATAGTATTTCCAATGTTTTCCTCTAGAATTCTAATAGTTTGACACCTAGGGTTCAAGTCTGTTACCAACGTGAGTTGATTTTTGTGAGAGTGAAAGGTTTGTCTTGTTTCAGTCTCTACATGTGGCTATTCAGTTTTCCCAGCACCATTTATTGAATAAGGATTCTTTTCCCAGTGTATGTTTTTGTCTGCTTTGTTGAAGATTAGTTGCCTATATGAGGATCGTTTTTATCTGGTTCTCGTTCTGTTCCACTGGTCAATGTCC